TAACTTTTGTAATGAAAAAAGCGGACACTACAAACCATTGTAGTCCAAAAAAGCAGACACTACTAACTTTTGTAGTCTCAAAAAGTGGACACTACAAACCATTGTAGTCCGAAAAAATAGACACTACTAACTTTTGTAGTCTCAAAAAGCGGACACTACAAACCATTGTAGTCTGAAAAAGCAGACACTACTAACTTTTGTAGTCTCAAAAAGCGGACACTACTAACTTTTGTAGTCTCAAAAAGCGGACACTACAAACCATTGTAGTCCGAAAAAATAGACACTACTAACTTTTGTAGTCTCAAAAAGCGGACACTATTAACTTTTGTAGTCTTTGTCTGACCTTTGTGGTCTATGTCCAACTTTTGTAGTCTATTAGTAAACTTTGTAGGCTATAACTTACTTTTGTAGTATATCAGCAATCTTTTGTAGTCTGTCAGTGTCAATTACCCTTTTAGGGCATGTACCTTCCTTTTTGGGAGAAATTTCCCACGATACAATAGTTGTAGCCCCTTCTCTTAGCTTTCTAAATCTGTTGAAATCATGTTGTTTAGTGTTCTTTTCACGTAGAAAAATGCAAAAAACAAAAAAAAACGCGGCGCTTTTGAAAACCTTTTACCTCATATCTCCACAATGGAAGCACTTTAGGACATAATTCCAACTGATTCAGGAAGCTATGGTAAAGAGCTACAACTTTTGTTTTTTTTACCATTTTTGGAAATTGGTCATGTGACCACCCTCCCAATGACCCATTGGATAGACCATAATATGACCTAGGGAATGAGATATTTATTGAAATTGCACAACATTAATTATGAAAAGTACAATGAAAGCATCCAATATTTCTAATGAAATATTCAATGAAAGCGCAAAGCATTAATTATGAAAGAGGCAATGAATACACCTGACCTAGGGAATGAGATATTTATTGAAATTGCACAACATTAATTATGAAAAGTACAATGAAAGCATCCAATATTCCTAATGAAATATTCAATGAAAGCGCACAGCATTAATTATGAAAGAGGCAATGAATACACCTGACCTAGGGAATGAGATATTTATTGAAATTGCACAACATTAATTATGAAAAGTACAATGAAAGCATCCAATATTCCTAATGAAATATTCAATGAAAACGCACAGCATTAATTATGAAAGAGGCAATGAATACACCTGACCTAGGGAATGAGATATTTATTTAAATTGCTCAACATTAATTATGAAAAGTCCAATGAAAGCATCCAATATTCCTAATGAAATATTCAATGAAAGTGCACAGCATTAATTATGAAAGAGGCAATGAATACACCTGACCTAAGGAATGAGATATTTATTGAAATTGCACAACATTAATTATGAAAAGTACAATGAAAGCATCCAATATTCCTAATGAAATATTCAATGAAAGCGCACAGCATTAATTATGAAAGAGGCAATGAATACACCTAACATAGTCAATGAAATATTTATTGAAATCACACAGGATTGATTATGAAAAAAGCAATGAAAGCACCTAAAATTCCTAATGAAATATTCAATGAAAGCGCACAGCATTAATTATGAAAAAGGCAATGAATACACCTAACCCAGTGAATGAAATACCTATTGAAAGCACACAGGCTTAATTATGAAAAGCACCCTGTGGCCTTGCCTATATTTTATGAAAAGAACATAGCCTTTATGAGAAAGAAAACACAGGACACATCTATTAACGGCCTTTCATAAAACTTGTGGACTTATACACACAGCTCTGCAGGCAATTGCCTTGGTTTTATCATAAAAGTGGTAGCCACCAGTCATCGTGATCACCTGATCTCACTCAAGTCTCGTTGGAGCAATACACTTGCTTCCAGCCCTAGGTTCGACACACATGTTCAGGCTGCCTTGAAAATCCGACACCAGGACCCTACCAATGCCAGTGTGACCTCGCCTTCACCTGATCCATTAACGATGACCTGGCTACAACCCCTGACACAAGATGTCGGCGAACTCACATTTGCTGATCCAGTGTATCATACCGCCGATCTTATAAACCTGGACGACATGCAGACGGATACAGGGGAAATCCTATTTGGCGACATGATCAATGTGGAAGATGATGAAGATGAGGCACCACCCCCTCAAGATAATGAACCGTTGACGGTTCAAGACATACCCGCACACGCTATAGAGCTCAAGTGGGAAATCCCCGTAAGTGTGGATCAGCACCATAATTTCCCTGTCTCAACAATATCCATGCAATTAGGCATCTCTTGTCCAGGACAGGAACCTTGTTGATGCCCTGCATTTCCAAACAATTGGGCCACTAGCAACTCACAGAAACCGGCGCCGAGTACCCCACGCGAAACCCAACCTATACGTTTTTGAGGCGGACGACATCATACGCCTCGAAACCCCAGGGTCTCGCCTCAATGATGTTTGCCTCAACAGCACAGCTGCCCTCCTTCAGCACTGGTGGTCTCACCCCAGCGACATCCACAAAGCAGTCTCCACATGGCGCGCTACAATTGCCCACATTCCGAAATTTGGCGTCGGACACATCATCTGGAATTCTGGCGTAAAGATGTGTGGCTTCTGCCCATCCATCGATCATGCCCAACTGGCCATTGGGTACTGGCTGTGATCTTAGTGTCCACAGGGAACGTTTTACTGTTTGACAGTCTCACCGACATGGCCCTGTGGAAATGGGAGATAGGTGTTAGTCCATGAGTATCTGCTATCTCGTTATACTCACTCTTTCACAGGAAATTATGCTCTTGATCACATGTTTGGTTCTCGCATCCAACCGTGAGGGACATCCCCTGCACGTCATCACTGAAGAAGGGTGGACCACGCAACCTCTACTGTTGAATGCCGTCCAGAAGGATGCCTTCAGCTGTGGATTGTGGGTTCTTGCCGCCATCGTGGCCGTCTTAAGAGGGTGCCATATTACAGGCTTGAAGGAGGGGGAAATAGAGACATTCAGACGGGCTTTGGTTAGACATGTATATGCTCTACCCTGATGTACTCTTCCATAGCTGAACTATTCTGATGAACACACACTGCATTTCATTAAGGTCACGACATTGGATACTCATGACATCTGATACACATACCCATTCGCTAAGTATGCCGCTTGGAACACCAAAATCCCCAGTAATGCATCACACAACAACTGCTCAAGCCAATGAATTGTCTCCCCAACCTCCAAAGTCATCTCGTGGACTTCCCGCCAATTCTCACTAACTCCTTCAAGATGGAGGAGCTCATCCTCGTAGCGCGTGAAGTGGCTCCGGAATTCTTTGAGAATGGTGATTTCCTTTGAAAGCGATTTCGTCTTTGTAGTTCTTAAGTAGTCCTGAGCGGCGGCCTCAACAAACAATTTGCAGCATCCCTTGATGTACATGCAATATTTTGTATGGCGCGAATCGGCCTGAGTTGTCCAGTACTCTGGGTCAGAAGAGCTACAAAGGCTAGCGTCAGCGCAACACCAGGAGAGTAAGAATTTTAGCATACGCTCGAACCTGTCAAATGGAAGTGGTACCAGATGGTGAGGAGGGTGAAGCATCTGTGGTGAGGGTTTCGATAGAGAGACTAAACAGGGTGTACGTTGTAAGTCTGGTGATGAAGTCCCAGGAACCACTTACTTTTGAGTTTGTCTTTTTTTCTGCCGGCGTGCCTGAATTTCAGACTTATGGCTTTGTTGAATGAGTTATTGGTAGTAATGTACAGCTAAATGTCTCACCTTTGGTAGCTGCGGGTGCTCTTGGCCCTGTTGGCATCCCGTTTTGCAGTGGCGGAATGATATAACTGTGGTCGAGCCATGGAGAGAGAGGGTAAGGTAAGTATCAATAGGGAAACTCGGAACAAATCTGGCTTATGGTCTGACCTTTACTCTTTTTTTTTTTCTAGCAGGGGACAGGGCGATTTATGGGTATGGGTGTGATCCTGCATTATTATAAATCAATTCCGCATAGTTTCTCATGCAGGAATCGGACTGTGTAATATTCTACCATAGGTTTTATGTTGCAGAGCATCGTTTGTTTACCGGTAATATCTCGGACCACGTTACAGATCAGGCAGATCTCTTAATCATGGAGATTAGTTCCATTTAAAACATGGAGATTAGCGCGATCATCTTTGATGAACCAAAAACAATTGTGTGGTCAATCCATTTCAGTAACTGCAGACTGTGCTGCTCCCTTGTCCAACCAAAAAAAATCTGCCTTGGTTCAATGTCCCGACCTTCATACATAAGTCTACATTGGTGTAATCTATTTTTGGGTGTTGTTGGGTGGCTTACGGCCATTACCGATCAACTGTACAGTTGATCATATATAAACCCAACCAACCCTGACTTCGCCCCTTAACCCTCTTCTTCATCATTCCCCCACTTTAACTTTGTTCTGTTCTCCCTCATCTTCTTTGCCTGCTCAATGTGTCCTGGTCAGTCCACCGACTCACTCCGCCCTCTGACTGAAGTCCATTCACTCACGAACACCCCAGACCACCTCCAACCCAGCTCCTCCAGCTCCAGGCCCAGCGCCAGACCAGCCTCAGGTAGTTCATCAATATTTCTTGTTGCATTCTCAACTAATGCATACTCCTACTCCAGACGACGTTCTGGCCAACATACCAAGCATTGTTACGGGACAGAGACGGCTTGGTAACGGCAAGTAACTCTCACCGATATGTATATGCGTGAAACTAAGAAAGACCCCAGATGATAGCATATTTACCAACACTGACAGCCAGCCTGTCAGCCCTAGTGTTTGGAAGTCCGGTCTCGTGACTGGGAAAAGACCGTAACCAGACCGGACCAAGACCGCAAAAGACCGGACCTGCGGTTACGGTCTTTTATTTTTGAAATGTAAAGACCGCAAAAAGACCGGTTAACGTGAACCGGTTTTAACCGGTTTGGACCGGTCTTTTGTAGCCCCTTAAATACCCTTTAAAACGCACCCAAGAACGTACGATTTGGTAAAAAAACGAGAGAGATATGAATTAAAATGTAAATTACTTTGGGGAATAATAGATGTACCAGACTTATTTTATAGAAGCACCAATTCCTAACGGAATTTAACGTTCTTGGGCTCGTTTTGAAGCTATTAAAAATGTT